ATCAGAATTTACTTGATGTCAATAGGTTTGGCTTTGGTTTAAGTTTACAGATAAAGAGACATGTAGTATAAAGTGATTAAACTATTGGAAATAACAATTATGAACATATATGCATCTAATAACACCAACAAAGTACACACAAAAAAAGGCAAAATCGGAGAATTTGACAACTCTCCAAATAGGGAAGTGAATAAAAACTAGCCACATGAAGCAGATTTGACATATTGAACAGATTTGACACATTGAACACTAATGACAAAAGACCTGATGAGCTGTGGGAGAATATCAGTACCATCATTCACCAAGAAAACAAAAAGTCATTAAAGACAAGAAAAGAATGAGATCAAAGTGGATGTCAGAAGAGACTCTGAAACTTGCTCTTAATTGTGGAGTAGCTAAATTATCAAATGGAAGAAAGGATGAAGTCAAGGAATTGAATAGAAAATTTCAAAGGGCAGCTCAGGAAGACAAAGCCAAATATTATAATGAAATGTGCAAGGACCCAGAATAAGAAAACCCAAAGGGTAGAACTCACTCAGCATATCTGAAACCTTTTGAAAGACCACAAAAAATTCAAGCCTCAAATTGCAATTTTGAAAGATTCTGTAGGCAGTATATCGAATGATGCAGGAAGCTTCAAGAGAAAATGGAAAGGGTACAGTGAGCCATGGTGCCAAAAAGAACTTGTCAACGGTCCACCATTTATTTCAGGAGGTAGAATATGAGCAAGAAACATTGGTGCTGAAGGAAGGAGTTGAAACTGCACTGAATGTATTAGCCAAAAAGGACCCAGGAATTGACAGAATACCCATTGAAATGTTTCAGAAAGCTGACGAAGCACTGGAAGCACTCACTCGTCTATGCCAGGACATTTGGAAGACAGCTACCTACTTGGCCAATTGACTGGAAGAGATCCCTATTTGTGCCCGTTCCAAAGAAAGGTGACCTAACAGAACACTCACATTATGGAATGGTGTCATTGATAATGGCACACAAGTAAATGTTGCTTAAGATTATTCAGCAGTGGTTGAAGCAATACATTGACAGGGAACTACCTGAAATTTAGACCAGATTCAGAAGAAGACACGCAACAAAGGCTATGACTGCTGCTGTCATATGAATCTTGGCTCAAAGCGGAGAATACCAGAGATATGTTTACCAGTGATTCACTGATTATGCTAAAACATTCCATAATAAACTGGATAACCTTTGAGAAGAATGGGAATTCCAGAACACTTCATCGTGCTCATGAGGAACTTATACATGGATCAAGAGGCAGTTGTGTGAACAGAACAAGGAAATAACGAATGGTTTAAAGTCAGGGAAAGTGTGCATCAGGGTTGTATCCTCTCACAATACTTGTTCAGGCTATAGGCTGAGCAAATCAGAGAAGCTGGATTCTATGAAGTGTGCGGTATTAGGATTGAAGGAAGGCTTATTAACTTGCGGTATGCAGATGACACAACCTTGCTGAAAGTGAGGAATTAAAGCACTTGTGATGAAGATCAGAGTTTAGCCATAAGTGGTAGACCACAACACAATGTAAGGAAGACCAAAATCCTCACAACTGGACCAATAGTTAGCATCATGATAGATGGAGAAAAGGTTGAAGTTGTAAATGATTTTGTCTTGGATCTACAATCAATGCTCATGAAAGCAGCAGTCAACAGATCAAAAGATGTATTGCGATGGGTAAATCTGGTGCACAAAACCCCTTTAGAGTATTGAAGAGCAAGGGCATTACTTTGAGGCCTAAGGTTTGCCTTACCCAAGCCATGGCATTTCCATAGCGTCACATGCATGTGCAAGTTGGACATGGGTAAGGAAGACTGAAGAAGAGTTGATGCATTTGAGTTGTGGTGCTGGAGAAGAACACTGGAAGTACTGTGGCCTGCTACAAGGATGAGCCAGTCTGTGTTGGAAGAAGTAAGGCTAAATTGTTCCTTAAGGCAAGGATGTGATAGGCACCTAACAACAAGAGCAGCAAGTTGATTGCTATGCCTTCCACTATGGTTTGTGTTACTCCTGAGGCTCTCCTGAAATCTTGTCTCCCATGGGTGATGCTGATGGAAAACTAGAATTAAAGAGAATTTTCATAGCCTTAAAAAGGGTATCTATGAAAACCTTACAACTTTTTTCATAATGTTTTCATCTTAAGGTAAAGAATAAGATTAAGAATCTTTACTATTCTGTTCAACACAGTATTTGATTGTTATAGCTTATGAAAATTAGTCAAGATGCAGATTGAAAAGGAAGAAGTGGTTATTTGTACTCACCAGTGACGTGATCTTGTTTACAGGCATACCTTGTTTTATTGTGCTTTGCTGTATGGCACATTTGCAGATTGTGTGTGTGGGTGGGGGGGCGGGTAAACCGATTGTTTGTTACAGCCTTGTGTTGAGCAAGTCATTGGTGCCATTTTCCCAACTATGTTACATTTTGGTTAATTCTTGGTATTTGAAAATTTTTCATAATGCTATTTTACACTTAATGAACTCCTCCCCCAAACAACAATAACAACAAAACACACTGCAATATGATATAGGCATAACTTCTATATACTGAGAAATCAAAACATTTATGTGACTCACACTATTGTGATTCATGCTTCAGTGTGGTGTTTTGGAACTGAATCTACAATATCTCTGAGCTGTGTCTGTATAGAAAATTCAAAGGAATTCATTTAAAAAATTATTTCAATTAATAAATGCACTTAGAAAGATTAAGATTATTTACAGGATGTATTTTTAAAAAGTTTCAATTGTATACCTGTATATGTAGAGGTATGAAAATGAAAATGCTTAGGAATAAGTTTAGTAAAAGAAGTGTAAAATTTATACTTGGAAGCTATGAAACAATGAAAAAAATTAAAGGAAATCTAAAGAAAAAATATTCCATATTTATGACCTGGAAGACTTAAATTTTTAAAAATCATTTTATTGGGGGCTTGTACAACTCTTATCACAAACCATCCATCCATCCATCCGTTGTGTCAAGAACATTTGTACATTTGTTTCCATTATCATTCTCAAAACATTTGCTTCTGATTGAGCCCTTGGTATCAGCTCCTCATTTTTCCCCCTTCCTCTCTGCTCCCACTCCTTCATGAACCCTTGATAATTTATAAATTATTATTTTATCATATCTTAAACCATCCTCCGTCTCCGTTCACCCACTTTTCTGTTGTCTGGAAGACTTACATTTTTTAAAATGACAATATTCCCCCCAAATTAATCTATAGATTCAGCCAATCCTTATCAGAAATTATTGCTGGCTTTTTATAGAAATTGACACTCACTCTAAAATTCATATGGAATTCCAAGGGATCCAGAAGAGTCAAACAGTCTCTTAAATAATGAATAATTGAGGAAGATTTTAAAACTTACGAAGTATTAGTAATTAAGAATGTGATTTTGGTACAACAAACAAATCAGTGAATTGAATTGAAAGTTCAAAAATACAACCCTGTGTCTGCAGTCAACAGATTTTCAGTAAGGAAACCATTACCTCTAAGTGGGGAAAGAATAATTATTTTTCAAAAAGGGGCCTCGGACATGCTTATGACCACATATAAAATAATGAAGTTGGACCCTCCATAAATACACAAAACTAATGATACAAAAAAAGTATTTCAGAATAGATCAAAGATCTAACCACAACTTGGATTTGGTAAAGGATTCTTAGATTTGACACCGAAAGTGTGAAAGGCAAAATAAAAACTAGAAATTTTTTGCTTCTTAAAATTAAAAACATTGGGGAAAATGAGGAGCTGATATCAAGGGCTCAAGTAGAAAGCAAATGTTTTGCGAATGATGATGGCAACAAATGTACAATTGTACTTGACACAATGGATGGATGTATGGATTGTGATAAGAATTGTACGAGCCCCCATTAAAATAATTTAAAAAAAATTAAAACCTTTTGTGCTTTAAAGGAAAACCATCAGGGAAGTGAAAAACAACTCATAGAATGAGAAAGAATATTTGCATTTCATCTGTCTGATAAGGGACGTGTCCAGAACATGTAAAGAACTCTTACAACTCAGATCTGAATATAAATGACTAATAAGCACATGAAGACACTTTATTAGTCATTAGGAAAATTCATATCAAAACCACAATGAGGGAACCACCTCACACCCATAAAGATGACTAGAATAACAGAAATATCAAGTGTTAGGAGACAGAGAAACTATAGTCTTCACATATTGCTGGTAGAAATAGTAAAATAGTACAACCACTTTGGAAAAGTCTAGCAACTTTTCAAATGATTAAATATGAAGTTAGCACATGCGTAGCAGTTCCACTCCTAAATATATACCCAACAGAAAGGGAAATCGGTCCACACAAAAGTGTATTCATTGAATATTTACTTCAGCATTATTCATAATACTTTGAAGTAGAAGCAACCCAAATACCCATCACCTGGTGAATGAATAAATAGAAGATAGTATATGCACATGATGGAATACTGCTTTATCATAAAAAGGAATGAAGTATTGATACATGCTATAATATATATGAGACATGAAAATATGTAATGTGAAAGAGGCCAGGTACAAAATGCTACATGTTTTATAATTCTATTTTTATGAAATGCCAGAATAGGTAAATGCATACAGACAAAAAGTACGTTAGTAGTTGCTATGGTTGCTAGATTGGGGCGGTGGGTGGGGGTGGGCTGAAGGATGAGGTGATAACTGAAAGGTGTGGTGAGGCTTCTTTTTGAGGAGATCAAAGGGTTCTGAAATTGAGTGTGTTGTGTTGGTTGCACAGGTCTGTGAGTGCACTAACAGCTATTGAATCACATTTTAAGTGAGTGAATTGTATGGTATGTGAATTATAGCCCAATGCAGTCATTAAATTAAAAAATTTTTTTTTCTGGAGTCCCTATGGAGCTGGGGCATTTAAATGTTTACTTTAAAATGCTAAGCTTTTTAAAATAACAGAGTTCTTTTTCATTAAGCTCATTTATTTATAATGCCTCCCTTAACCTTGTAGAAATCATGACTACCCCAGGAAAAGAAAACTTCCGCCTGAAAAGTTACAAAAACAAATCCTTGAATCCTGATGAGATGCGTAGAAGAAGAGAGGAAGAAGGACTTCAGTTACGGAAACAGAAGAGAGAAGAGCAGGTAAGCCCTTCACTTTTATTGATTTAGTTCAAAGAACTTAATGCTCTAGTTTAAACGTGAAGCCAGTCTTCTTTATTACTATTTTAAAAGTCAAATGTATATGTGTGTATATATATGTATTTATGTACACACGTATACACATACTTTATGTATGTGTACATGTATACATTCCACTGTAAATGCAGTACTTCTTTTGACATGGGTAATTGACGGTTCTGGAAGGTAATCTAAAAAAAAAACTGGAAAATCATTTAGACATCAACCACTAAAGCTAGTAAAGGTTCCCAGTGTCCTAGTATAAGCACTGAGTAACATTGTTTGCCTAGTTTATTTTAGTAGTATTTAAATTTTTTTATAAAGTTGGAACTTCTTTAAATTTTACATGGCATATGTTATTCATCAATTTTTACATGAGTAATAAAACACTGCTATCTTTTTGAAAAGAATAGATAATGAAAATAGACAATGAACTCTATAGCTCTTCCTTTGAATTCAATAATTGTCAACATTTTGCCACACTTCTTTCATGTCTATTTTTACAATTTGTTCATCTATAATGCTTTAAACAGAAATCGAAGACAATATAATTTCCCCCTAAATATTGCATATTATTTATAGGAGCATATAGGATATTGATTTTTGATCATTTTTTTAGCTCAAGATCATACACCAAAATACCTAGGACATACTCTCACCTTACCTTAGTCCAAAAATGCTTTTAAAAAAAATGGTTCATCACTTTTTGGACAGACATTTGGAGATAGAGGGCTTCAGTAGCTCTGTTTTTTTATTTATTTATTAAAATATTTTTGGGGTGCTCTTTTTTTTTCTATGGAGAGATTTTGAGACTGGAAGGATGGTTAGACCCTACTGTAAAGCTCCATAAAAGCAAATGACTTTGAAGAGGGACATCTCTGATCAGAGCACCCAGGATCAAATGAAGAGGGAGGAAGGAGAGTGGAGCACATCCTGGTCCACCAAGCCTTGAGGATGATATCCCTGCTCACAGCAGCCAATCCACAGAGAGGGCCTGCCCCACTATGAGACACGACATCCCTCATTGACCCATAGCCCTACAGGAAACAACACTGGAGACACAGTGTGGGAATTGGGCCTGATCTGACCCCACCACACCGGGGCAAAACACTGAGTGCGCAACAGAACAGTAAGAGGAGCAGAGTAAGGAAATCCCCAGGGAATACCAAAAACAGACTTTGGGGCCAGGGTGTGGCACCCCATCAGACTTGATGGGAAAACACTCTTAATGGTCAGCAAACAGACCTTGGTCTAGTTACAGGCTTTTTTTGTTTTGTGTCATTGGGTTTTCTTTTTTGTTGTTTTGTTTTCTTTTGTTGCTTTGTTTTGCTCTGTCTTGTTTTTGTGCATATTATTATCTCTGCAGGTATATCTAGATAAGGTAGGCAGGATAAACATCTGGAGGAGAGAAAACGGGACCGGTGGTTCCTGGGGGATATAGGCGAGGGAGACATTGGGGCAAGGAAGTGGGTATTAACAAACCCAAGGACCAGGGAACAACAAGTGATCCAAAATCAGTGGTGAGGAGGGTGTAAGAGGCCTCATAGGGATTGGTCAATGGCAATGTAACCAAGTGGAATTACTGAAACCCAAATGAAGGCTGAGCATGGTAGCAGGACAAGGGGAAAGTAATAGGAAATACAGGAAAGAGCTAGGAGGCAAAGGATATTTATAGAGGTCTAAAAACAGGCATGGACATATGTAAATATTTTCTATAAGATGATGGGGAAATAGATCTATGTGCATATATTTACAGGTTTAGTGTTTAGGTAGCAGGTGGGCATTGGGCCTCTACTCAAGTATACCCTCAATGCAAGAACACTTTGTTCGATTAACCTGGCATTCATGATGTTCATCTTCTCAACATGATCGCTGAAGACAAAGCAGGTGCATAAGCAAATGTGAAGAAAGCTGATGGTGCACGGCTATCAAAAGATATAGTGTCTGGGGTCTTAAAGGCTTGAAGATAAACAAGCGGCCATTTAGCTGAGTTGCAACAAAGTACACATGGAAGAAGCACACCAGCCTGTGTGATCATGAGGTATTGATGGGATCAGGTATCAGGCATCAAAGAACACAAAAAATCATATCATTGTGAATGAGGGGGAGCTCGGAGTGGGGACCTGGACATTCCTTACAGAAAGGTTGCCGGGAGGAGACGAGCCAGCCAGGGTGCAGTGTGGCAACGATGAAATATACAGCTTTCCATTTAGTTCTTTACTGCTTCCTACCCCCCACTATCATCCCAATTCTACTTTACAAATCCGGCTAGACCAGAGGATGTACACTGACTGGTACAGATAGGAACAGGAAACACAGGGAATCCAGGACAGATGAACCCTCAGGACCAGTTGTGAGAGTGGTGATAAATCAGGCGGGTGGAAGGAAGATAGAGTAGAAAGGAGGAGCCAATTACAAGGATCTACATATGACCCCTCCCTGGGGAACAGACAACAGAAAAGTGGGTTAAGGGAGACATTGGACCGTGTAAGACATGACAAAATAATAATTTATAAATTATCTAGGATTCATGAGGGAGGGGAAAATAATGAGCTGATAGCAAGGCTTCAAGTAGAAAGCAAATGTTTTGAGAATGATGATGGTAACAAATGTACAAATGTGCTTGACACAATGGATGGATGATGATAAGAGTTGTATGAGCCCCCAATAAAATGATTTTAAAAAGTAATAAGAAGAAAGAAATTATAGCCCCCTTCTTGGGAGAAAAAAAAGAAAAGGAAAAAAAAAAGATGTGGATGATAACACAGTTAACTGTATCATAAATGGGTCAAAGTGTTTCATGAATAACTTTAGTCCTTTAAACTATGGACGTGCAGATTACTTCCTCATTTACTACACTAATTATAAATGCCTACGTGCTTGTATGATTATGAGGAAGAGAAAGTAAAATACTATGTATGCATAAACACTGAACAGGAAAGGCTTTCAGTTTATTGCATTAATAATTCTTTTTCGGAAGCCTTTCTAAGTGGTTGTATCAGTATCTATGGAAATGCCATCACCATAAAGAAAAATAATCTTTGTCACTAGAAGAAACTTTTAAATCACCTACACCTTAAATGTTTAAATTGTGTTTTCTCTATTCTTGGGGCTCTGGGTTGTGTCTTCATTTGCTGCTACTCTTCCTCCGTGACATTTTTAAGCCAGTAGAGCCATTTGTCCAGAATGGTAGTCATTAGTAGCTATCGAGCACTTTTAATAGACATGTAAGCCTAGTCTAAATTGAGCTGTGGTGTGTCAAATTGACACCAGATATCAGAGACTTGGTATGAAGACAGAATGTAAAGCATACTTAAATTTGTTTTTATCTTGATTACATCTTGCAGTAATATACTATGTTCTGGTTATAGTTACCCTCCTTCCCCTCTACCTCCGTGCCCCCCCAGCAGTTTTGAATGGTTAAGCACTTTGCTGCAAACCTGAAGGTAGCAGTCTAAACCCTCTGGCCACTTTGCATGAGGAAAGACCTACCGATCTGCTCCCACTAAAAATTACAGCCTAGGAGAAAAAAGTTAAATAGAGGAAAAAGAATTACAGCCTAGGAAACCCTGAGGGCATTTCTAATTTGTCATATTAGGGTCACCATGAGTCAGAATCAATAGCACACCGCAACATAGAAGCATCTTGCTATACTGTGTTATAGCAAGTGCAGTTCCTGTGGATATAAACATTTCAGTATTGGCAGATGTCATTTTAGTGATCATGGCTCGATATTAGAATGATGTAAATGTATCAAATTATTGTAAAAGAAAATTAAATCACAGGGAGTGACATCCATAAAAATAAATGATGAAAGAAAAAAGACCAACCTGTGTGACATGCAAATGGATAAGTCACACAGTACTTATTTTAGAACACTTAAAAATACGGTGATTTGATTAATCATCCCTTGTTGGATATTTGTTGACAGCAAAGGAATTAAGTAAATTTGAATTTGAATTACTACTATGAACTCATGATGTATTAAAAAAAATAACTACTGAAAAGGCCTAGAAATTATTACTTTGTAGTAGTGAGTACCTCTGAGATTGTGGTCTTTAGAAATTTTAATTTAAAAGGAATATAGCTAATTTGGAGTTCAAGATAGAATATTCATGATCTCTATACAATATTTTTCATATCTTATGCTACAAGCTCACTGGAATAGCCTTAGAAAAACTAAGTGAAAATAAAGTGTTCCATTGGCCAAAATTGAGGTATTTTGAGTATTGAGAAAAAGACTGTAGATTTTTGGTTTTGTGCAAATTGGGTGAATAGAGGTGGGATTTTTTTCATCCTACTTGAAACAGCAACCGAAAAAACTAAACAAAAATACATGAAACCGTCTTCCAGACATCACACAATGAAGGGCCAGTGATCTCTGGAGATGGGAAACAAGAGACGAGTGCTAGCATTTCCCTAGCTCCCTTGAGAGTGTTCACAAGCTCTGATAAAAGGAGAGGGAGTCTGAGGAGAGTCCAAGGACTCCATGAATTGAAGGAGGAAAAAAGCTGAGAATTTTGGGTGAGACCAAGGCAAATTTACAGTTCAAAAAATAAAACACCAGAGAAGAGATTGCTGTACAGAGAGAACAGTCTGGAGTTTTGTAATAGGTTTTCGTCCAATAATCAACAGAATATTGATCAGGACATCTGTATGACGAAACAACTACCCAAGGCTAGAAGAATACTGTCTAAAAAGATTAGAGGGACAATGCTTAATCCACAGAGCCAGTAATAATGGCTATTGCCAGAATGGTAAAACTCATAATTTGTGAGAATTCAGGGACATCTTTCCTTCGTCGTAGAGTAGAGCAGCAGATTTAACATTATTCCAGACCCACCAACCAGAAAAGTGACATCCGAAGGATCAGACTGTTAGCATGTAACTTAGCTGCATCCACAACAAAGCTCAACAAGCTATCTAGGAATACACAAATATCCAGTACCCCCAAGTGAAGTTCACTGTCAGGCATCTAAATCAAGATTATAAGGTATATAAATAAGAAAACATGACCAATTCATAATGAGAATAATCATTTGAAACGTAATGCTGGAAAAGAGAAAGCTGGAGTGGCTGTAGAAAATCATGGTTTACCATGCCCTGGTGGTGTAGTGGTTACATGTTAGAATTGTTTTTTCTTTTTCAGTTATTCAAGAGAAGAAATGTTGCTACAGCAGAAGAAGAAACAGAGGAAGTTATGTCAGATGGAGGCTTCCATGAGGCCCAAATTAATAACATGGAAATGGCACCAGTAAGTAACATGATGAAAGGAACACTTTGATTTTTTTGTGATGTAGACCTGAAGTGTAGATCTTCTTTTTTGTCTTAAAAAAAAAATTAGGTGACTACAAAAAGCGCTTGCCATTTCATTTTTCGAAGAAGCAGAATACTTAATCTCATGATGCAGTAAATGTTTATTATCGGCATTACATTTCAAATAATGTTTTAGTGCGAAAGGCTAGCTTAATGCTAAAAACTTACAGTAAATATAAGATTAAATTATTCCTTAAAAGTTGAACAGCAAGAGACTCTTTAAAGGAAGTCACAATTGGATATTCACTTCAATTACAAAATTGGACTTACAAAGAGACTTCAAATGTTTGTGGAAAAACTGAATTAAGGTATAATTTATATAATTAAATATACATAATTTTATGTATAATATAATGTATAATTAAATGTATAATATATATAAAGTATAGTTAAGGTATAATTTATTTTTCCATGTACTTTTAGGATTTGGAAACCCCTTATATTTGTATAATTTAAACATTTTTCCCATTCCTGGCTTATTTTACTTACCATATTTTCAAGGTTCACCCATACCATAACATGTATCAGAACTTTATTTTTCTATAGGACTTACTTCTGTTCCATTATATGGCTAACATGTTTATCTATTCATTGTTGGACATTTGTTATTTCTACCAGTTTAGCTATTGTGAACAAGAATGGAGGACTGGTATAATGTAATTTTTGGGGGGTTATATGAAAAGAAAAGAAGTTTTGCTTTATATGTATTACAGGTGTTTAGAATTTCAGTTTATAGTTATTCATTTAATTCTTATACTAGATTTTATATATAAACATGGTTTTACCAAATAAATAAGTAAATAACCCAAGCAAGAAACATACATAATACAAAGTCGTTTTTCTTACACCTCAGCCGTCCAGTTTATGTCCCTCAATTGGAATCACTGTTATTAGATTAATGTTGACATTTTTTTTATAGAAAATGAATTTTTCTCCTCACCTCCACACTTTTTTTTTCTTTACAAATAGATGCATATTTTACGTAGTATTTAGGGGTTTTTTTTCTTCTTCCTAGATTGATAAAGATGAGAAAGATGAGGCTTTCTACTCTGGAAAAGAGTTAGCATCTTAGGAACTCACTGGGGCAGTTCAACCCTGCCTTATAGGGTCACTGTGAGTTGGAATTGACTCGATGGTAGTAATTTTGAGTGTTTTGAGGTTACTGCATGTAGGATTCTAAAAATATTAACCTTTCAGGTTGTATACATATATTAAAAGGAAAGGGATTGCTGAAAAATTACTAATGTTTTTAGTGTAGTCATACTGAACACCGATATATGATATAAAATCATGGTCTATAAATTTGAGGTGTTTAACAAAGAGAAGAGCTGAGACGTCGATCGATTATAGAAACTAGTTGCTGGGATCTTTTGTTTTTAGAGCCTGGTTATCATATAATTACTGTTGAGATTAGAATTCTCATTTGGCTTGCCAAAGAAACAAGAACTCTAAAACTTACTATCTGTAGCCAGTGTAAAATCTCCAAAGTTGAAAGTATATGAAAATGAAAAAAGCTATGGGTTGCAGTGAAGACAGCACTCAGAGAGAAATTTATAGTAATAAATGCCTACATTTAAAAAAATGAAAAAAGGATATTAAAATAAGTTTAGACGGCGGTATTGATAACAAAAGAGAACAAGACCTGGTTAGTACTTTTCAGTGTTGTACGAGGGCGTACTTAAAAAACCTGGATTTTTCCCCCGCCAAAGCTATGTATTTTTCTTTTTTTACAGATACCACAGTTTATTAGGGGTTACTAGGGTCAGTATAGAGAAAGTTGGGGGTGGAGGGTAGAGTGCTAGAAAAACTACATGGATTATGGAATGGTATGCTTGCAAACAGACTCTTGTAATTGCTGTCAGTGAGGCTTAAACCTGTAAACAACTGAACAGGCAAAAGTTGTGTGATAGATATCAAGGGGGCTTCAAAATGTTTCTGGGAAACTTCCATTATTTTAAAATTTACTGGGGCTATTTCTTGCTGCTGGTTTGTTTGCTGGCCTGCCCTTCCTCCGGCATGACCAGGACCAGGGCCTTCATGATACCTTGCAGGGCTGATATGGGTTTGGTAAGCTTGGCGAGGGTGGATTCTGCTTTGTTCTCAATGGTCTCTAGGTTGAATTCCACCTGTTTGGTCATCTTTGGACAGCTTAAGTCAGGTTGGCCGTTGCTAGGCTATGTGCTAGGAGAGGGGAAACGGAACCTCTCCAGCCATCGCATTGAAGCCATACTCCAGATCCCTCGGCTGACCACACTGAGCTGAAGTGCAAGGAGTCTGGGGGAGGAGGGCGCCAACTACACAGTGCTGCTCAGGGTGCAGGTGCCCCGCTGGATTTAATTTTTTTTTTTTTACAAAACAACCTTATCACCTTCCAAGTGCTCTCCATTACTCTTAATACATTTGTCAAAACTGCGATTCCATTCTTTTTAAAAAAAATTTTTATTTGCGATTCCACTATTGAAAGCATTTTCAAACTCATCTGTTTGGATGGCTGACAGCACTGCCCTTTTTCCCCCCACTTCTTCTATGTTGCCAAATTGCTGTCCTTTTATGTCCCTCTTCATTTGCAACAACAAAAAGAAGTCACACGGAGTAAGGTCAAGTGAATAAGGTGTAGGGGGCAAGAGAGGCAAGCCGTTTTTTTGCCAAAAGCTGGCACACTGAGATGACTGCATGAGCCGGTGCATTGTCGTGGTGGCAAAATCCGTCCCCTATCTGCCACAAACCAGGCCTTTTTTGTCACATATTGTTACACAATCTTTTCTGAACCTCTAAATAGAAAGCCAGATTATGGGTCTGACCTGGTGGAATGAGCTTCAAATGTGTACTACAAGTTGACATTTTCGTCTTTCGACAGACGTCCAGAATGAGGTTTCTCATTAATCGGCATTTCACCGATTGATGAAATGAGAAAACCACTTGTACACTTGAGGTTTTCCTATAGTACTGTCCTTGTAAGCTGTGTTCAACATCACAACAATTTCTGCAACATTTTTCCCGAAAAGGAAGCAAGATTTCACAGCTACATGCTGTTCTCTTCAATCAGCTATCACGAGGTTCAAGCAAAACTGCTTTTACAAAAAAATTCACTGTGACCAGAAAACTTTCAGACAATGCTTGCTACTAGATGCACTAACTCAGATCAAGTTGCTCAGTGGTTGCCTAGCGGAAAAATATGTACTCTGAACGCGGAGCTTGGTGGGTGGGGGTGGGGCTCCTCCCCGGTATAATGGTTTTTAGAATAAATACAAGGATAAGTCAAAAAGTATTGCTACTAGGGATTCAGTTTATACATGCAAATGGTTATTCCAAACACACTATGTTTAACTGTGATCAGTGGATTCCTTCAGACAAGTTCTCTCAGTAATACACACTTGTCTTGGTCTTGTCAGGATGCTTTGGGGAAAAAAGGAACAAAATTTGTTCAATGAAGGAGAAAAATCATTTTGAAGCTAGGGTTAATATCAGAGTTTTAACAAAGCTTATATGTGGATGTCTTAAATCCTTAAAGCTTTGGAATAATTTGATGGGCATGCTTCTCCGTAAGAAATCCTGTTTTAGCAAGTGCTTTAAAGGAAGGTCAGGAAGACCTCAAAGAGAGCCAAGATGTGCCATTCTCAATAAATGAAGACACTGGCTGATGTCTAGAAACTGGTGGAACAAGACAAGACCATAAACTTGTCATCAATAACTGCTGAAATTGGGATTCTCATAGTTTGACATTTTTAATTTTAAGCAAACAGCTTGCCTTCAGCAAACTTTTGGCTAATTGAGTGCCAAAAGCCTTGCAAGAAGATCAGTTAGCTAAAAATCGATATATCAGTCTTCTAAGCAAGGTCAAAGCTAATGACAGTCTTATGGAACAAACTGTAACTGGCGAAGCATTTTGGATGTCCCAAAAGGAACCATCGAGCAAGGTCCCATCAAAACAGGGGTTTCGGATGGGGTCTACCGGCCATTTAAAATGAAGTCGGCGAGACCGGCTCAGAAAGCGATGAAAATTGTTTAATTTAGACTCCAAAGTGCTTGAATGAAACAGGATGATCATAGAGTCTTCTTATAAGGTTGAAGGTTTAAGAAAGTAAAAAAAACAAAACATACTGTATTGGTGAGAAAAAGGTCAGGAAAATTGCTCCAAGGAATTCTTGTCCATCATAACAATGTACCTGCTCATTCTTTGGGGATATTATGGACTATCTTGTAAGAATTTTCATTGGAAAACCTTACCTCCTGTACCCTGCAGTTCTCATCTTGTTCCTTCACCCTTTTTATTCTTAAACTCAATATTGAAAAATAATATGATTTGAGTCTCTGAAGAGCACAGAATTCTTCAGAGGTCTGAGAGATGGAAACACTGCCTTCAGAAATGGATAGACCAGGGATAAATGATGATATATTGAGGATTGTAGTCAGTGATCAAAAAAACAAGTCAAACCAAACTGACTACTATTGAGTCGGTGCCAACTTGTAATGACCTTGTAGGATGGAGTAGAACTGCCCATGAGTTTCCGAGATTGTAACTCTTTATGAGAGTAGAAAGCCCTGTCTTTTCTACTCGTTTTGAACTGCTGATCTTGCAGTTTGTAGCCGATCTTGTAACCCCAGCACCACCACAGTGCTCCGTAATCAATCACGTGAAACAGAAAGGGTATAGAATTGTTGAATGGCTCTGTGAATCTTTACAATTCGTCCCTCTGGGGGAAGCTAACCCCCCACAGCTAATCACGGGTTCAGTAGGCTCAATTGTACAGTTAAAATATATAGATTATAATAAAGTCAGAGAGTAAGAGATAGGAGAAAGTAAAATGAAAGAGTCAGACACATTTCATGGTAGCATGCTCACCTCCTGGACGTCCATGATCTCAACAGCTGGGTCCGCACACAGTGTGGGCAGAGGGTAGGAGAGGTCTCTCTTTCTGACCAAGGCCCATGTATACG